CAGAGGTCTTTGCCCTGCAGTCCCTGCCTTATCCTGGTGCCACCTCCAACCCCCCTGCTACTCTCTCTGGCTTTTTTGCTGTAATTCTTTTTGTGACCAGCCTACAGATAGGTGTCCTCCGACACTCAGTGCTAGCCCTGCACCAGTGCCTTGCACAGGTGGGTGTGGACCGCACGCTCACGCCCATCTCTGGGCCTCCACTCCTGTGGTTCCCACCCATATGGAGGCCTTGCTTCCTCACACTAAATCCTGCCTCCTCATGCCAAGCTTCCATTCCTTCATGAAGATTTACCCCTTCTACTTTCCTTTGTTTGCACTGCCTTAGAACTTTCCATCTGAATCACATATTTTAGCACTTTCTTATATTTAATAAAAGTTTATTCAATCAACAGATCCTTATTGATTGAGTGGCTCCTAAATGCCAGGCACTGTGCTGCCCTCGTGGACTCAGCAGGGGGAGACAGACAGTGAGCAGGTTATTGGGAGAGTGCTGTAAAGTGACATTTATGGCACTGTAGATGGAGACTAACTGGTGTCAGGGGAGGCCTGTCTGTGGCGGTGACAATTTAGGTGAGCTTTGAAGGATGAGAAGGAGGCAGCCATCTGAGAGCCAGCGGAGAGAGCATCCGAGGCAGAAGCAACAAGACTGCGTGAAGGCTCTGGATCCAGAAGGAGCCTAGGTATTCTGGAAATTGAAAGGAACCTGATGGGACTGGAGCTGATTGAGCCAGGAGAGTGGGTTGAAATGACGGTGGAGAGCTGGGCAGGGTCCCGACTGTGGGGGTCCCTCTGGGCCATGGAGGGATTTGGATTTCATTCTGAGTGCAGTGGGGACCCTCTGAGGGCTTAAAGCAAAGGGAGGTGTGACCTGTTCACTTTGGCAGCTATGTGGAAAGGGTATTGGAGGTAGGGAAGATGAAGTGGAAAGGCCAGACGGGACGCTCCAGGGTGGCCAGAGTGGTGGCAGCGGAGGTGGAGAATCAGGGGCCAATTTGAGATCAACTTTAGAGCTGGCCATATTGATGGGTGGGGTGGGAGGATGAGGGAGAGAGAAGAATCAGAGGTCATCCCCAGGTTTCTAGCATGAGTAGCTGCAGGTGGGGAAGAGGGGTGGATAGGGGTGGTAATTCCATTTAGTGAAACAAGGAGGCAGAGGGAGGAATATGTTTACTGGGGAGGCGGGGGGCGCGGGAGTAGAGGAGACGAGTTCCCTTGTAAACATACTAAGTTGGATGTGACGGTGAGACATTCCACTGGAGATGTCAGGCCGTCAGAACATAGATCTGGAGCTGAGAGAAGTCCAAGATGGGGATAGACGTTTGGAAATAGGAATATAATTTAAAACTGTGGGAGTGGATACGATTACTATATCAGTTTCCTAGGGCTGCAGAAACAAGTGCCACAGAATGCGTGGCTTAGAACAACAGATATTTATTCTCTCAGTTTGGAGACCAGAAGTCTAGAATCACGGTGATGGCAGGCCCATGCTTCCTCTGAAGCCTCTAAGAGAGGATCCTTCCTTGCCTCCTCTAGCTTCTGGTGGCTCCAAGTGTTCCTTGGCTTGTGGCAGCATAACTCCAGTATCTGCCTCTGTCTTCCAACGGTCTTCTTCCCTCTGTATCTGTGTCCAGATTTCCCTCTTCTTATAAGGACACCAGTCATACTAGATTAAAGGCCCACCCTACTCTGGTATGACCTCATTTGAACTAATTACACCTGCAACAACCCCATTCCCAAATAAGGTGACATGCTGAGGTACCAGGGATTAAGACTGCAACGTATCTTTTTGGGGAACACAATTAAACCCATAACACTTACCTAGAACAGTGATGGAAAGAGAGGAGAGAAGGGTCCTAGGACTTTGCCATCATGTAGCAGTTGGAAGAAGACAAGCCAGCCAAGGAAACGGACAAGCCACAAGCTGAGAGGCAGGACAAATATGGGAGTGTATGGTGTCGTGAAAACCAAGACTCAGTGTTTCAAAGCAGGAGGGGATGGGCAACTGTGTGAAAGAAATGAGTGAAAAGCTCTTGGGTCACAGAGCTGAGACACTGACCAGTGGATATGACGACGTGGTCACTGCTGCTCTTGACAAACGTAGCACTTGAGTGGAGCAGAGGGTAGGAGTCCAGTCAGAGGAGGGTGAGAAGGTGATGGGAGGCAAAGTGGTGGAAACTGCCGGAGGTTCCTCTTCAGAGATTTGGCCTCTGAGGAAGAGCAGAGAAACAGGGCAGCAGCTGCAGGGAGTTGAGGGGATTAAGGAAAGGCTTGATCTTGTTTTGGGTTTGGTTTTATTCTTGTGTTCTGCTTTATTTTTTTAAATGGGAGGTGCTAGAGCATGTTCGTGTCCTTAAATTAGCTCTACTTTGGTATCTGTGTGTTTGTGTTGTGTACGTTTCATAATCAACTTCAGTTGTCACGTATGCTTTAGAGGGACAGGACTGTGCCTTCTGTTTCATCTCCCAACCATCTAGCCTGACACTTGAGCATTTGTTCATTATGATCACAGCAAGAAAAATACTCTGCTGTACATATCCTGGTATCATGAATGGCTGCCGTTTCATTTTCTAATGGAAAATAGACTAAGAGCAATTTTCACAGGCCCTGTTCATGTAACATCAGTAGATGAAGCCCATGTCTGGTGTTTCTTGCCAGAGAACATCACTGAAGTGCCCTTTGTGTGACAGACGGCCTCATTTGTTGGATTCTGCCTTGCACATCATCAAGGAACAGAAACTGGGAAATGGGTTTGCAGAGGTTCCAAACAGCCCGCGTAGGGGCATGAGAACCAGTTGATTAACCAGATAGGAAGGGCAGCCCATAGTCAAGTCCAGAGATGTCCCCATGGAACCAGATGAGCCTGTTCCTAAAACCCAACCTGGAGACTGGAGTGTCCAGGCTGCAAAGAGCAAAGGTACAGGTCACAGGAATAGGGGGACAGAGGTGCAGAGGTGCTTGATCCTGAGTCAGCAGCTTGCTAAAGGGGGGCTTCTCAGGAACCAGGACCAGAACTCTTCTCCCAGGAAGAGGCCTGAGTCTGCATATGAGAGGAGGCAGGTGGACACACCTGACTCTAGATCAGAAGGAAAAGCAGGTTCTGACACATGTAATAAAGGTGTGTTGTTTTCTCTGTAATGTTCTCTTCAGATATTCCCTTCTTTTCCAAGAGATGTGGTTTTTTGAATAAACCAGAATCATCTCTAGAGAGATTGCATTGCTAGAGGCAACCTGCAATAATCTCATCAATTATACACAGTCATCAGGTGACTCTGGAAGCCCTGATGTGTGTGGGCAGCGCTGGACACAGTGACCTAGGCCAGTTGTGGGATCCAAGGCCCCATGACACAGGACACTCCAGCAGTGATGTCGTAAGACAACCACAGGCCTCCTCAGTCATCAGGGCCGGGGGCAAGAGCAGCCTCCTGTGTCCACCAGAACGGTCAGCAACTAGGATTGGAGGAGACACAGACCAAAGAGAGAGCAAAGTGCCGGGCAGAGCACTGGCTGCTGAAGATGCCCAGCAGTGAGGGGACAGGGACAGGCAAGACCCAGTAAGTAGTGCCGAGGCAACTTGCTCCCCCACCCTCCGCGGTAACTCTCTCCTGGGAAGCCCCAGTCTTGGATTTTAGGAAAGGTATGTCTTGCTGCCCAGACCGATGACGGTGGTGCTCTGGAACCACCCAGCAGCAGCGCTGAATCTCCAGCTCTAAGGAGTTGGAGACTGAAAAATCAGAAGACTTTGTAACAAGACATTTTGGTTTTTGTTTGTTTTGTTTTTTCGATACTATTATATAGAGAAAAAAGATTTGCAGTAGATCAAATTTAAAGCAGCAAGCTGGGGAGATGCTTTCTAAGTAGGGAAAAGTTCAGCTAGAAGCTCTGAGACAAGGGGAGGTGTTTTGGATCACACGCCTCCTCCCTCCACTCATGCTAGATGGGTGAAGATAACTTAGATCAGGAAAGTCTCCCAGCTCCCTTCACTCCCACTCTAGGCTGCTGAAAGCAGGTGGGAGAGTGGCGTCTTCTTGCATTGCTTAATCAACTGGGACATTTACGGAGAACACAGAAGTTGGGTTAGTGCATTTCTTTATCAGCAGGGTGCCTTGAGCCACATTTTTTTAAAAACATAAGCTGTGTTCATATCTCCTACTTCAAACTTGGTTTTCTCCAAAACGTACCCCTACCTAATTATGACAAATTCTTAGAAAAGAAGATGCACTCTGTGGTCTCTTTGGTTTTGATTACTAACTACATATGAAATTTCCTTTTGAGTTTAGGTGATTTCCTTCAGAAGCTCCAGCATGGAACCTTGTCTCTCGTGTGAAGGGACATGACTCCTACAGTCAGAGATGGGATTATAATGGAATTCTGATTGATACCCAGGCTATTTTCATGAACAGGGTTCTTATAAGTGTATTCGAGAACTTTTTAGGAACTTAACTTTTTAGAAGCTAATGAAAAAAACAGTGTTTCCTTGGGAAAGTGTGATACAAACTCCAAAGAAAAGGATCATTGGCATGAACAGATATGGGATTTAATCCTGTTGTTCTGGGTGGAGACAACTTGTTTTGTATATTACTGAAAATAGAACACCAATATTTCAGAATTCCTTTGTAAAAGCCAGGCATTCTCTAAAGATTGGTGTCCTGGGTTTTCAGCTATAAAAGATAACTCCCAAGTTCCTCTAAAGTGGCTATTAGCTCATCTGGTTGGAGTGTAATGGCAATGAAGCCAATAGATGTGGTTCCCAGTAGGTCTGTTCTAGAGCCATGGACCAACCTTCATCTCAGCCAGCCATCTGACCGGGCTCCCTGCTAATGGGGAGAACCAAGTCCAAGAACGGAGGGCTCATTGAAGCACAGTGCAAGCACCACAGGCCCTTCAGAGGGGTCAGTAATGGTACCCTAGGTTAGAAAGATAGGATTTGATGTAGAATTCATATAGAGAAAGCTGCCTGCATTTCCAAATTGCTAATGATTTCTTCCATTCTTCCTTTTCAGGGCCCCTGAGATCATCCTTGGTTTACCATTTTGTGAGGCAATTGATATGTGGTCCCTGGGCTGTGTCATTGCAGAGCTGTTCCTGGGCTGGCCACTGTATCCAGGAGCTTCAGAGTATGATCAGGTAAGTGGAGGTGGCACAGGTACTCACGTACTCACTGCAAGCATGCATTCTTTGTCCGGGTTAGCACCTCATTTACAACATGACATGTGCATGGGGGTATGGGGTGTTATGTTGCCTCCCGAACCTTGCTTCTCTTAACCTCATGATTCTTTCTTTCTTCCTCTTTCTTTTCCCTTTTTCTTTGATTACTTATTTCTTTCCCTATAAAATTGTCCTTTTTCTCAAAGGCACTAGCGCCAGTAGTATACCATATGCACAGTGACAGGAGAAGCCCTGACTTCATTCTCATCTTTTCTTGCAGATTCGGTATATTTCACAAACACAGGGTTTGCCAGCTGAATATTTATTAAGCGCAGGGACAAAGACAACTAGGTTTTTCAACCGTGACACAGACTCGCCATATCCTTTGTGGAGGCTGAAGGTAGGAAGAGCGTGCCCTCCATTCTCACCAGCGCCTGGGAGGTGAGGGAGGAAGGGCACTGTCCGATTAGTGGGGAGCTTTTTTTTTTTTTTTTTTTTTAAATCCTCATTTTTCTGTGATCCTTCTAGATTTTTATTTATTTTTTTATGTTTTCCCCCCAAAGCCACAGTAGATAGTTGTATGTCATAGCTGCACATCCTTCTAGTTGCTGTATGTGGGACTCGGCCTCAGGATGGAGGGAGAAGTGGTGCCTCGATGCGCACCCGGGATCCGAACCCGGGCCACCAGCATCGCAGCGCGCGCACTTAACCACCAAGCCACAGGGCCGGCCCAGTGGGGAGCTTTTGACATCAGCACGTTGATCCTGATCTCACCTTGATTCAGATAGCAACATGGGGGGTGGGAGGGCGACTATTGTTGACAGGTGGGAGGTATGGATGAATTTGCATGTGCAAAAACACTGCTTTGCTTGGCCTGCTGCCGCCTGCAAAGCACGAGTCCCAAGCTCTGATTGTTAAACTCCCGGGATTTCATCCAGTAAACCCTGATGACTTGTCTGGTTTGTGCTAGAGAGAGAAACGAACCACCCCTGCCCTCAAGGATCTCCCAGTCCAGAGGGAGACTGAACACGCGTGGCACTCCCCGTAGCAGTGCCCTGTTCCTGGTAGGAACAGAGAGTGGGAGCCAAGAGGAGGGAGTCTTTCATACTGCCTGTGGCAGAGAGTCCTGGAAGAGCATTTGAGCTTGGCCCTCCAGGCAAAGGAAACACCTGAGCAACAGTGGCATCCCAAGGCGGGGGAGGAGTCTGAAGGTCCCAGCCGGCAGGCGGTGTCGCACATCATTGCACAGCAGAGAGTCGGGTGGTTTTATTTAACGGAAACATATTTTGCTTTCTCTTCGATCTGTGCCTAGTAATTAAAATTAATGTATTTTCCTGGGAAGGAGAAAATAATGCAAGCCTCAAGTATGTTTTATGTCCATTTTAGGTGTTTCTTTTTTTGCAAGAGAGTGGGTGGGTGTTTTTTTGACAGAAACCACAGCCACATTCTAATATGATTTAAAGATAATGTGTGGCCAATAGTCGTAAGAGATTTAGAAAAGCGATTTGGGAGCTAAGCAAGCACTCTTAGGCTGTGGATGGGAGGGGCTGGTGTTTGGCAGCTGTGAGGGTGAGAGGCTCAAGGTCAGGTCCAGTAACAGAGTCCCGGGAGGCGGGTCAGGCCGGGCCAGGCAGGGTTCACTTCTGTGTCTCAGTTAAGAGCCTCAGTCCTACTTGTCCAGCTGCTCCTGGGGTCAAAGCCTGGATCGTAGCAGCTCCAGACATGCTTGCTGTCCTTGAGTGAGATTTGGGGGATCAATCACCTGTGATCATGGATGAGTCCTAAAACCCATGGTAATTGGAAACAGCAGCTTCCGAGACCAAGGCCAAAGTGGGAACCGATGTGTGAGCCCAGGCCCAGGCAGAGGGACGGCCCAGAATCCGCGGCCCCTCATTGGCCATGTGACTGTGGCAAGCTCTTTAAGCTTTCCATTCCTATTTCTCCCTCTGGAAAATGGGGTGTTAATCATCCTACCCAACATGGTTGTGAAGGGTATTCAATGAGTTCATGTGCTCTAGAATAGTGCTGGCACATAGTGAGAGCTATATATAAGGGTTTGTTAAGTAAAATTAAATTAAAATTTTAAAACGTGTGGAAAAGGGCTTCTGCTTTTCCACATAGGGAATCTTACCTTATCCCTTAAACTTAGGGAAGAATGTAGGGTTATCAGGGATGTGGCATATCTTACTCATCTTAAAATCCTCTGGACCTGACTCAGAGGAGGCCCCCAATAGGTGTTCGTGGGAAGGATGGAAGGAGGAAAGAGGGATGAGTTAGTGTGGAGGTTGAAGAGAGAAAGTAATTAGTGTGCAGGTCACTTTAGGAAGAATCAAAGTTTCCTTCTCTGAAAGGTGGGAAAAAAGTCTGCCTGAGAAGCAGAAGCTTGAGGGCTTGAGTCACAGTGACTAGAAAATAATTCACATTACCAATCAGCTTTTGCCTCTCTTGACCAGACACCAGATGACCATGAAGCAGAGACGGGCATTAAGTCAAAAGAAGCAAGGAAGTACATTTTCAACTGTTTAGATGATATGGCCCAGGTAAGCTCTGTGGGTGAGTATGCAATGTTAGCCGTTTAACAACCAAGCACAGCAAGACTTCTGCAACAGTAATATAGGATGGGGTAGAAATCCATGTTACTCAACCACAGTGGTTGACCTCAGCCTTAAACAATAATATACCAGCCTTAGTAAGAATACCATTTGGTTTGTGAAACATTTTTAAAACCTTACACCAGCTCTTTAAAAATGGCTTCCATTTCTTGGTTGCCATTTGTAAAATAGTACTGGCCTGTCTTACTGATGTTTTCATGAGAAGAATTCAAACCCGTTAGGACATTTGAGTTTAATGCCCACGATTTAGTATGTTAGTTCCCTAGGGCTGCCGTAACAAGGTACCACAAACTGGGTGACTTAAGACCACAGACATTTATTCTCTCACAGTTCTGTAGGCTAGAAGTTCAAAATTAAAGTACCAACAGGGCCATGCTCCCTCTGAAGGCGCCTGGAAGAAACTGTGCCTCTCTCCTAGCTTCTGTAGCCCCTGGCAATCCTCAGTGTTCATTGACTTGTCTCTGCATCCCCCAATCTCTACCCCCTTCTTCACATGGCCTTTAGCCCTGTGTTTCCTCTTGCCTCTTTGTCCAAATCTCCCTCTTCTTTCTCTTATGAAGACACCAGACACTGGATTTAGAGCCCATCCTACTCCAGTATGACCTCGTTTTACATCTGCAAAGATGCTGTTTCCAAATAAGGTCACATTCATAGGTATTAGGGATTAGGACTGAAACATATCTTTTGCGGAGACACAATTCAACCCACTGCACACAGTCTCTCTCAGCTCACTAGGGGGCCACAGACTTTTACCTTTGTGCCCAGAGAAAATTCTAGAACTTCAACTATTTTCAGTGTAAAAACTAGTCTAAATCAGGGCAACCCAGAGTGAGTTTTTCTTGAAAGCAATGAGAAATAAACCCATAGGCCAATAAACACTTAGCACACCTCTTCCTGTAGATGAGTGTAACCAAAAATCATGATTCTGAGTAAAGTATACTTGTCAGTCTTGTCAGTTGATTAGAAGCTTGGATTGTCTGAGAAAACTGAAATTGCTTTCCAGAGCATGTCTTGGAAAATATAGAAAGCACCACAAAACAAGTCTTTTAAAGGCTATCCTGGTATAGTCTTGCTCTTGGAAGGAAAATCCTGTGTTCAGATATCCTGCTTATCTTGGCTCGAGGTGACCCCAGTGAACACAGGGATTAAATACCTCTGGCCCTGACTCTGGGGGCTACAAGACTGATAAATGGTAGATGCAGGAAGAGGGCACTAAGGCCTCTACATTTCCCTCTGCAGGTTAAATAAATAAACATTTTTGCCTCTTATTTTCTACTGCTTGATTGTGGTTATTTTTTTTTAATTGTGGTAAAATGCACGTGGCATAAAATTGCCATTTTAACCATTTTTAAGTGTGCAGTTCAGTAGTATTAAGTACACTCATATTGTTGTACAGCCAACCTGCAGAACTCTTTTCTTCTTGTGGTGGTTTTCAATGAGGTGTGATGTGAGGTGCATTTCAACGTAACTGATTAAAGCGGGAGCAGTGTGTGTCCTGTCCCCTAGACATATTTGCAGGTCCCAGCAGCGGCCCTCTCCCTTCCCCATGCCTGGCCTCCTCTCTGCCTTTCCTGCAGAGAGAACAGCCGCATCCTGTGGGGAGTAATAATGTGGCAGTGCCTTCAGCGGGGCAGACACAGCCTTCTGGGCATTGGGAGGGGGAGATTGAGAGATTAGGGTGCAGTTGCAGAGCGGAGAATAAGGGAAGTCGGGGAGAGGGGAGGCACAGTGGGGTCTTGGTAACCTGTCCCTACTTGCTTCCAGGTGAACATGACAACGGATTTGGAAGGGAGTGACATGTTGGTAGAGAAGGCAGACCGGCGGGAGTTCATCGACCTGTTAAAGAAGATGCTGACCATAGATGCTGATAAGAGAATCACTCCGATCGAAACCCTGAACCACCCCTTTGTCACCATGACACACTTACTCGATTTTCCCCATAGTACACAGTAGGTGTCCCACTCGATGCTTTATACCAGGGGTCAATGAACTTTTTCTTTAAAGCCCCAGATAGTAAATATTTTATGCTTTGCAGCCATGCAGTCTCTGTCGCAGCCACTCAGCTCTGCCGTTATAGCTAAAAGCAGCCGTAGACAGTACACAAAGAAATGAGGGAGGCTGCGTTCCAATGAAACATTATTTATAAAAACAGGTGGCAGCCAGATTGGGACCCTGGGTCTCAGTTTGCTTTACACCACAAAAGAGGCAACGGTGGAGCATGGGAGAGCGCAAGGCTGGGGGGCCGGACTCTGGGGGTCTGTGCGTGAAGGGAGGTGCTCAGAATGGCAGCGTCCATGAAGCAAAGCCACTTGTAGTGCCACAGGTCACTACCAGAACCCTTCCAGAGTGGACCGGGTCTAGTTTGGATTGGGGTTCGTTCATTCATTCATTCATTCAGCGTGCTGTGTGCCGTGCCAGGTGCTGGGGTCAGTGGGGAGCAAAGTAGGTGCGGCCCCTGCCCACTGGAGCTTACGGTCAGTAGGAGCGAGAAGAGTCCTAAACAAGTGACAGTCAACTAACCAGGCTGTTATCAGGGAAAGTACAGGGTGCGAAGAGAGCAGGTAACAAGGGAGCCTCGAGCAGGTAACAAGGGAGCCACGCTCTCTTGGGGCAGGGCAGGGAAGACCCTGAGGAAGTGACCACTGAAGGAGGAGGGAGAGATAACTGGTGAAGAGGCCCGCGAGAGCAGAAAGGGCCTTGCTGTGTGGAGACAGCAGCCCGGGCAGTGGGAGAGATGAGGCCCCAGGATGAGCTGGGGACAGGCCTTCTGTGGTAAGGATTGTGGTCTTCATCCTAAGTGATGGGAAGTCATTAGAGGACTTTTAAGCAAGGGAATGGCTGGTTAGAGTTGTGTTTAACAAAGGTCTCTCCACTGCTGCACCATCATGTCAAATGAGCCTGGAAAAAATGCCCACCAGATCTGGCAACTTGGGAGTTTTTGGTAACTTAGTGAGAGCCGTTTCAGTGAATGGTAGAAGAAACCAGTTGAGCCGGTTGGAAGAATGAGGGAGAGGTGAAGAAATGGATAGTAGCCTTTTGAGAAGGGAGGCTGTGAAAGAGGAGAAGAAATTGAAGGGTGATGAGGGAGGGCCCAAGGGAGATTTTAACAGGGAAGAGGCTTGAGCAATTTAAAATGCTGATGGGAAGTGTCTGGCAACAAGTGAGAGAGAGAGTAAAGATAAAAGATGCTCAGAAGATACGATTCCTGAGACAGCAAGAGGGGCTGTGATTGGGAGCACAGGTGGAGGAATAGGCCAGCGTCAGGGAAGGGTGGATGGAAGAGGGGCACGCGGATGTTGGCAGGCGTGCTGGTTTAGCGGCGGAAAGTTGAGGGAGTTCTTCAGACAGCTTCTGTCTCCTCTTGTTGAGAGCAAGGTGGTTGGTGGTTTAAGAAGGGTAGAAAAGTTTAGGTAGTTGGAGCAAAAGGTGGCAGAGCAAATTGAACAGAGAAATACAGTAGAATTGTTGAGCATAGTGGTTGGACGTGAATAGTTTAGGGTGTAACTGAACTCCCCAGGTGAAGTTGGCTTTATCCAGGTTGGAGTTTTGCAAGGCTGCTAAAAGAAAGAGACAGACTGACAGACTTATGATGTTGGCAATAGAGTGATGGTAATCCAAAATGGCAGCTGTTGGAGGCTTAGCTGAAAGGGAAAGGAAGTGAAGATAGGAGGGGTCCAAAGAGACTGAATGGTGTGATCAACTCAAAGATTGGTTATTTTCGTAGTAGTCGAATGAGCCAGATCCATGAAAATGTGGCTGGGGGATGGGGTGCTTGAATTTGTGGTTTAGGGAAGTGGAGCAGTTTCCAGTTTGACAGTCCAGGGAATGGGTGGCTAGAATTGACAGCAGGTCACTGGAGATGAGAAGGAACTGAGAAGCCAGGTTGACTGACAGGTAATCAGTGTGACCTCCAAAGTCTCCCTAGGCGGGCAGGGAATGGGTTAAAGTGGAGAACTGAGCCAGTGGCACAGGCCTCAGTGAATGAGGGGGAGAGAAAAGGCCATCGGTGGCAAGAGAATGGGAGGGAGTGTTGGTTTGTGGAGGCTGCAGTAACAAAGTACCATTGAGTGGCTGAGTGGCTTAAACAGCAGAAATTTATTTTCTTACATTTCTAGAAGTCCAAGATCAAGGTGTTTGACAGAGTTTCTTCTAAGGCCTCTCTCCTTGGCTTGTAAATGGCCATCTCCTCCCTGTGTCTTAACATGGTCTTCCTTTTATACATGTGTGTGTCCTAATTTCCTCCTCCTCATAAGGAATAGGATTAGGGCCCACTCTAATGACCTCATTTTACCTCTTTAAAGAGAGGTAAAATTCATCTCCAAATTCAGTCACATTCTGAAGTACTGGGGGTTAGAACTTGAACATGAATTTTGGGCGACACATTTCAGCCCATTACAGAGGATAATGAGGGATGTCACTTCAGCCTCTCAACCCCGAGGTTTGTGGGATGTGAAAGAATAGTCACATCTCTGGATGTCTGCAGGGAGAAGCAGTGTGCTCATGAGAGCACCAGATTTTAGTTAGGATCAGAAGGAAAAGCGAATACCTGAGAAGAGACTGGGGATAAGAGACATTTGCAGATCACGGTTGGCCCTGCCATGGCCAGACTGAGATGGGGCCTAAGTCTCAAGGCTGGATTTGACCTTAACCAGCATACAAGAAATGAGTGAGTGGCACCCACCACCAATGGTGCTTCCTCTATTTTAGTTCTGTTCCTTATCAGTTGATGTTAAGCAAGTCAAATCGCATTGTAACAACCAGACAATGTGTCTTTAACTTAGAGCCATGTTTGTAACTCCAGTACAAAGAAGGAACTTGGACCCATCCCTTGCAAAATCTCGTTATGGGATTTTTTCTGTTTCTGGTTGTGGTAGGGGGACATCAAGGGGGTGTCAGTCTGTACCACAGAAGGAAAGCAGACTTGGCAATTTACTGGATAGGGCTCCCATAGGTCAGTCTTTTTATATTCATGGGTGAAGTGGGATGATTGAGAAATAGCTGTGGATAGGAGACAGAGGGGTGCTCACTAGAGGGCCTCCGTTAGCCATCTGCACTAAGTCGGTGAGACAGTCACCCACGTAAAGTTGGGGGCATGGTTGAATGGCCTCAGAGGCCTGTCCATCTCTGGGTTCTGTAAGGAAGCAGCAGTAGAATGCTCCACTGTACTTGGTGAAGACTGAGCATGGAGACCATGAGCATCAGCTTAAATTCAGAACTTGGTGTGGGACCCAAGAGGATCACTGGTGATTTAGAACTCAGAAAGTGGGCCTCAGAAGGAAAGACAGGTCTTTGAGCACACATAGGCTTACCAGAAAGTAGGCCTAATCCCTAAAGGTGCCTAGAACTCGCTGGGAAGACCGTGAGAACTCCAGGGCTAGAAGAATCTTCCAGGCCTGCCCTGCTGAAGACTTCTACCCTTGAGGCTGGGCTAGAGGTGACCCAACATCTAGATTAATAGGTAAAAGAGACCTCACTCATTTCTCCATACTGGGATTCTAGCACACACATTCGTTAAAAACCATTCTCATGGAATTAACCCAAAGTGAAAGTGCTTGCTTCTTCCTGAAACTCAAAACTCAGACCATTTCAACATTTTCAGTTGGAAAATTCTGAGTCTAAAAGCTTTGGGTTAAATTGTCACAAAACCATTGAATGCTTTAAATACATTCCAAAAAGAATATAAAATCTATTGTTTTATTCCTTCAGTCTCCATGTGAAAGCACTTCACAGTGTGCTTGATACTTAGTAGAGGCTCAAAACACGTTGGCATTACCCGCATTATTAGTAGTACTTTTAGCTATTGGTTACCATAGAATACATTTTCCTTTCTCTCCAGGGTCATCGGTCAGTAAATGTTTATTTCATGTGCATTGTATGGCCAATGTAAGTAGTCATTAACTCTGAAGGAAAGAAGATTCACTGAGCATGTCTAAGTCAGTTTGGAACATCTTTCATGGAAAGGATGTTTTGGGATGGCCCACGAGCACCTGCTTGGCCCCAAATATAGCATACCTATAGTACACATTTGTAATCTTAAAATAGTAGAAAACTATTATTTTATTTATATTTAGTTATTACAGTATTTATAATTAAAATAAGTCTCTAAAATTGAAATTTACATGCTGTATTATTATCTTGAATATTAGCATTTGAGGAAAAGTAAGTTTAATTAGAAGAAGACACAGACGTGAATGAGAAACAATGTGTAAATTCTGGAGGACACTCTGTGTTGGATTTTCAAGAACTTGAATGATTGAGGCCACTTGTGTCTTTCCTTTTCCTTGATGCTAGTGTCAGCAACACTTTTTTCCCCCAGTGTTATTTGAAATATTGACATACATCTCTATAAGTTTAAGGTGTACGGCATGATGGTTTGATTTACATATATTGTGAAGTGATTACCACAATAGGTTCAGCTAACAGCAACACTTTTATACTTGCATAATTAGCGTTTTGTTTTGATTCACAAATGCGATGGAAGAAGAAAAGGAGGGAGAGAATTTTTATTTCACCTAACTGGGCAATAATTAGAAAAGAAATAGGAAGGATGAAGGGAGTTAAAGAGGATGCATATGTATATGTGAAGATTGCCAGTAATTAGCTCTTGCCCTTGGCAGAGTGCTCATCCTATCTAAACTTCATCCTTTTTCGTAAAATAGGGCAACAATCAGATCTCCCTCTCGTGGTCGTTGTAAGACTGAGTGAAAGAGTGCTTGCAGACAGCTCCCACAGCTCTCAATCCATGTTAGCCACTATTTAATTATTCATATTATTGTTCTCATCACACGTACAATTCCAGTGGGGAGAAAGTGACAAGAGTCTTGGTACTGGGTTGGGTAGTTCCCTGGCTGTCCCCTAGATGGAGCTGGTGCCCCAAAGTAGCTGGGAAGGATGCCTGCTACGAGTTGTCTTTGGGAAAGGTGGAGTAGGTCATAAACTGCTATGTAAATGTTCCCAATCAGAGAGCTTACACATTTGTTTATGGACCAGAAACCACATTGAAAGCTGGGAATGAGCAGTGAAGTTGGAGGCAGATTAGCAATATGAGGAAATGCAGTGAGAGCTATCATGTCCACTGCTGTGGAGCACCTTCACCCATCCAGGATGGGAGAAGTAGTAAGACAGTGGGGGAAATTCATCCAAATAACGTTAACTCTTGCAAATGCAGACTCTGCATGAGAAATCCAGGAAATTTAGACGTAAAGTTAAGTTTCCCCAGGTGTCTTGTTTGCTAGATTAACTGTTCTCTGCTTTTCTCTCTCCGTTTCCTCCCCTTTATCCCACATTACTCTCTTCTATTTCCCTTATGCCTCTGTCTCTGCCTTTCACATGAACAGCGTCAAATCATGTTTCCAGAACATGGAGATTTGCAAGCGACGAGTGAATATGTATGACACGGTGAACCAGAGCAAAACCCCTTTCATCACACATGTGGCCCCCAGCACGTCCACCAACCTGACCATGACCTTCAACAACCAGCTGAACACTGTCCACAACCAGGTAAGTGGGGAGCAGAGGGGCAGACAGGCGGGGCTGACAGCGTGAGCATCAGGAATTGTGTTTTCCTATTTTCCCACCAAACCTAGTCAGAAGACAAAATTGCTCCTGAAACAAAATTCCTCTGTTGTCATATTCAACTCTGAGAAAGTGTTTGCTTCCAAGGTTATTTCCTTTGAGAGACCCAGGCCCTCTTTGGATTGACTGCTGGCCCCAGTGAAAGGTCCCAGGAATGACTCACTAAGGGAGTTGTTTCTGAGATGGTACCTCTTACTGCTTCCATCTGTCCTGATGTGGAAAAAAGGTAAAAGAGATGCTATGATCCTTTTATATCTGGCATCTGCCTGGTAAAGAATTCTAGAACTGGAAGGGATGCTGGCACTCATCCAGTCCAGGCTCCTCCCCCTGGTCCCCACACTGCTGGGTCCACATGATGTCCTTTCTGGACATATAAAACCTGTCCCTTCTCCACGTCATGGGGAAAATCAATTCATCAGTCTGTCACCAGAATCCCAGCAGCTGGAACTAAAAGGGACCAGGAAACAGGTTTTCTTCCCACCGATTTCCAACCTTTTGCAGAAAATTAGCAGAATCCAGCACCTAACACACTGCTTGAAATATGGATGACACCCAGGAAATATATTGAATGAATAATCTCTGAGTCCTAGCTCAGGCTGCCTCTGAAATCTGGAACTTTTACTGCCAACTTCCAGTCTTAGCATTTCTCCCAAAGAAGTGTCCCTAGATTTTTTCAGTCTTAATATCAATCTGCAATAACAGCACTCTTGTGTGTATACACACACACACACTCCTCCAAAGGAGAGAAGTGTATATGTTCTAATCCTGAAGTATGAATGAATACATCCACTCTTTTTCGACAAGTCCCCTCCTGTCACTGAAGGGTCGCTGACCCCATTTTCCTAGGCCATTCCTGCAGTGCATTGGGTTGCTAAGACCTAGCTTTACTTCTCAGCCTCTCCTCTCTCCCTCTGCCTAAACTGTAGGAGAGGCCGCCTGGAATCTGCTGTCCTTAAAGCTTTCCTTAGGGTGAAGAGCTAATGCCCTTTAACAACTAGAGTCCAAAGAAACAAACATCCCCTCCCAGCGCCTAGCCCAACCCTCAGGCCAAGGCATCCACAGCCAGACATGTGAGCTTCTTGATAAAATATCACCATGGTTTTGTTCCTCATCACCAGAACCCCATCACAGTGAACAGACTATCTGGCTGGTGCCAAAAGCATGAGAACAGAGAAAAAATTAGAAGGAAAGGTTGGACAAACCGTGGGAAAGAAAGAGTGCCAAACCAAGGGGCATGTGCAGAGTTCATTAGGCAGTAATTGGAGATTTTTGAGCAGGGGTGATGACATGCACAAAGTAGTCTTTTGGAAAGAATGTTCTAGCCTCTGTGCCCAAGAATAATTGGAAGAGAAGAAGTGGAGGCCATATCATCACTATTCAGAGACTTACAGATCCCAGGCACCAGGGAAGAAGGCCTCAGCCAAGGAAGTAGCGATTGAAAAGAGTCAGTGGGTTCCAGGGACATTTCGAAGGAAGCAGCAGCAGAACCAGTGACTGACCAAAAGGTGGAATAGTTGAGAGCCAGCGTGGGAACCTAGAGGATACTGGTGCCCCAAAGAGGGAAGCCCCGAGGCACTAAGACCTGAGGAGAGTCTGGACTTTGGCATGTGGAGTCTGAGCAGACAGTGGGAAATGTGCATGTGGGGAAGCCTCCAGGAGAGATGGGGCCAGGGAGAGAACAGAGAGGAAATGCAAATCATGTCATCAATAACAAAACACAGACCCAGACATGTCGCACACGTGTTCCCAATCACACTACCTGGAGGCCGGTGGTGATGCTGCAAACACAGACACTTGTTGTTATGATATGTATCTTAAAATCCAAACATGTACGCCACATAGTTTAGTAATTACTTTCAAACAAATTCATTTGCTTTGCACTGAAATTTAGCATAAAATCTAAGTATAAAAAACATGTAAAGCGAGACCTTATTCTTTTTATCAAATTTGACCCACATACATACCCCTCCTGACATTCTATTTTTGTATGTGTCCAAGATATCCTGTGGCTCTTTTCCTCTTTATTCTTTAGTCCTTGTAAACTCTAGTGGTAAAACCTTTTGTAAACAATGATGAATTAGAGGCCATTGGTAACCTCCACCTCTCTTGCTAAAGGATCAGTGTGAAGAAGACTAAGAGTGAAACTGGAGAATTCCCAAATTAGAATTTATTTTTGTTCTGCAGCCTTGCTTCACATGGAAGTTCAGTCTCAAATGATGTCTGTTTCTGAAAGAGAAATGAGGGCATAATTTCTATATTTGTCTAAGCCATCTCCATTTAAATTCTCTAGACCCACTAGCATCTTTTCTCTCTGCCTTCCAGCCTTAGTAGCTGAGCACCAGCATTAAGAATGCACCGACCTCAAACAAGTAACCCCAGTCCCAGCGGGTTCCTCTCCCTGCCTATTTCTGTAGCATATTTATTTGCAATAACTGTGCTCTGCAGCCCCCTAAGGGTATCTGTAAACAGTACTGCCCCTAGACCTGGGCAAGAGGGCCCCTTCCAGGCCCTACTCTGGCCCTCCTCCAGTACGTGTGCTTCATGCTGAGCGCTGGGTACCTGGGAGCCCGGGCCTGCAAAGGCCTCCTGGATTCATCCTCCCAAGCGTGAACTACACCACCCGGCCCAAGGGGAGGCAAGTGTGAACAGAGCCTGGACATGTGGGCTGGCAGGTCCATGTATGTGCACCCAAAGCCCCTCAAGTTGCAGGACAGAGCTGGGGCAGGGAGAGAAGGAAGGCAGGGGTTCAGTTGTCCCCCATCACCATGCTTCAGTGCAGAGCCAAGGAATCCAGGAATCCAGAACTCACACCTGGCCTCCCAGGTTGTTATGAAGGTGTATTTGTCAAAGTAGAAGGGCAGAAAATAAATAGTTTCTAGCCTAATTTTTAACTTTACAGTATTTAGACTTATGGTATGCAGGCATCCGTTTGCATTCTCGTCCTTGTCCCCCAAATGATAGGAACAGGCCTGAGTATAAGCACCAAAGGTGATTCTGTGTCTCGTGTGGCTGCAGGTGCCTGCTTTTCCCTGAGACTTTTCAACTATATTTCCACTCCCCTCTGTTTTTGCTTTTTGCTCTTGGTTTTTGTTTGTTTGTTCTTCTTTGAGTTCATTTATTTGATTTAGATTTGTGCCTCCCAACATGCCACCTCCCTCATTTTTTATTTTTGTTTATTTTTGTTTAATCCCCATCATTCCTTTAGGCTCCCACCTCCACCAGTGCCACTATTTCCTTAGCCAATCCCGAGGTCTCCATACTAAACTACCACTCTGCACTCTACCAGCCCTCAGCGGCATCCATGGCTGCAGTGGCCCAGCGGAGCATGCCCCTGCAGACGGGAGCAGCCCAGATCTGTGCCCGGCCTGACCCCTTCCAGCAAGCTCTCATCGTGTGTCCTCCTGGCTTCCAAGGTAAGGATGAGCAGACACAGCCTCGCACCCACTTCTGACCAGACGACCTCCAGGGCGCTGGCAGTGTTCTGTCATGCCGACCTCCCTGGAATAAGGCCCTCTTCATTTCTTTCCGTGGGAGCACTGGCATCACTGAACTTGAGCACCCGCGTCCTGAGGTGGCCAGCCTAGAAACAGTAGGACTTGGGCTTCAGCGCCAAGTCAATTTGTTGTTATTCTCACCACCTGCCAGTGATTTCGTCTAAGCACATTGTTTGTGCTCCTATTGTTATGCTGATGTCAGCTCCTACGTTTCCTTGCATGAAATAGCCCACGTGTGGTTTATCTATAGAAAACTGCCAGTCTCTGACAACTAACATAGTCCCAGTTCTCGTGAAGAATGTATATCTGTCTGGAAAGAACCTCCCAGTCCACCCTAAATGATTCTTTGGCCATGCACCCTTCTCTTGAAAACTAAGAAGCTAGAGTTGACTGTGTACTTGGTTACAATGTAAGCAGAAAGCTCAAGAATTTGGTTTTGCAAACCCCGTGGTGGAAGCATGAGTGTGGCTGCTCAGTTTCAGAGTCAGTGCAATTCCAGACCGGCTCATATGTTCCCTCCCCGACACCCCAGCTTTGACATACACAGATCTCTCCTGATGTCAGAAGCGGTTGTTTTCCTTTTGTAATTTGTCAGCGTATCTGTCCCACTGTTGGCTTTACAGACTCCTTAATTTGACCTTCTAGTCTTTGACAACATTCAAGGTTGTTTTTTTGTGTTTTTTTTTAATTTAAGTTAGAAACTAAAGGGGAGACAGCCAAAGGACCAGGCAGTACCTGCTGGGGAACCAGTGCGAAGGGGAGTTGAGAGCTGACACAGCTGGCTAGGAAGGCTTTCTTCATCACTCACCTCGCCCCTCTCTCCCTTACCCTTTGTCCGGAACAGGACTACAGGCCTCTCCCTCTAAGCATGCGGGCTATTCCGTGCGAATGGAAAATGCAGTTCCCATTGTCACTCAAGCCCCAGGAGCTCAGCCTCTTCAGATCCAACCAGGTCTGCTTGCCCAGGTAATTCTTTCTTTATTATTACTGGTATTGCCATTATCCACGTTAATGTTGTTCACAAAAGAGATATATCTCCGCTAATTCCCTCCCAGGCAATGAGTTAGGTACTTCGAGTCATTAGAATATATCAGTAATATTCTGAATGATCCCCAGGTGAATTACCTTCCAAAGTATCTAGCTTACACTTCCAAGAAGAAATTTAGACACAGGAAGAGTCTGGGGAAATTATTATTATTGAATTTCTATAATGCAAATTAATATGGGAGACCTAGGTTTTAATCCTGACTCTACTAATAACTCTCTGTGACCTAAGGCAAGTCGGTTAACATTTCTTTGCCTCACATTTCTTTCTTGTAAAATAGAATTGATTTTTTTTAGAGCCAAAAGGAGCCTTAGAGATTATCTCTTTATTTTATTAGTTGAAAAACCAGGATCTTAGAAGCTGTGAGCTGCAACCTTCATTATGTGTTCACATAGGTGCTCTGATGGTAGAGTGAAATTGCAGAGGTGAAAGTGGTTGAGAATTTGTAAAGTGTTGTGGAAATTTAAGGTAACACAGTGATGCAATGATAGTAGTAATCAATCCTTAATGAGACTGGAACCTTAGTAACAAATACATTGTCATTATGCCAGGCACTTTACAGTTGTTAATTGATTTAATCCCAACAGCAACACAGTAAAGTATTTGTCTCCATTTGACAAATAGGGAAAATGAGACACAATTACTGTCTCAAAGTCACACAGCAATTAGGTGATAGAACCAGGACACAAACCCAAGAAGTCTGATGCCAGCATCTGTATCTTAACCACCATGCCATACTGCTTCTGTGTAATCATTTCTGCTGTTGGGCGTCAAGGACAGCTTAAATGTTGACTTAGATGTTGTTATTTATAAATAAGGTAGGTTCTCAAAGGCTTTTCTCAATGTGTTCCCAAAGAAACTTTAGTTATGGTGTCTTTTGTTGAATAGAAGTTTTGGATTGTTTTTTTTTTTTTGAGGAAGATTGGCCCTGCGCTAACATCTGTTGCCAGCCTTCCTCTTTTTTCTCCCCAAAGCCCCAGTACATAATTGTATATCATAGTTGTAGAGTTGTAGCTCTTCTATGGGACGCCGCCTCAGCATGGCTTGATAAGCAGTGAGCAGGTCTGCACCCAGGATCCGAACCGGCAAACCCTGGGCCGGCAAAGCGGAAAGTGTGAACTTAACTGCTATGCCATCAGGCTGGCCCCTGGGTTTAATTTTAATGTAGTCAAATTGCGTAAGTCTGTTCCGGGCTCTCTATTCTATTCCACTGGCCTCTCTAATATCCCATTGTCTTAACGATTATAACTTTAATATTTATCTCAGTATCTGGTAGGGAAGGCTCTGCTCCCATATCGTTCTTCAAAATTTCCTTGTCCATTCTTGTTCCTTCACTTTTCCCTATGAATTTTAACTTCACTCTTACGTAAGAATTTTAGTTCCAAAACAAAAAACTCTGGTTTGTATTTATTGGACTTGCATTGAATTTATATTTACTTTAGGAACAATTGGCATTTTTAAATTTTTTTTTATTTATTTATTTTTCCCCCGAAGCCCCAGTAGATAGTTGTATGTCATAGCTGCACATCCTTCTAGTTGCTGTATGTGGGACGTGGCCTCAGCATGGCCGGAGAAGCGGTGCGTCGGTGCGCGCCCGGGATCCGAACCCGGGCCGCCAGCAGCGGAGCACGCGCACTTAACCGCTAAGCCACAGGGCCGGCCCTGTATGCTTTTTTAAATACTGGATTGTTCATAAATACCATAGTTAGTATTTTTGCATCTAAGTTCATAAGTGAGAAATGGCATATAATTTCTCTTTCTTATAGAATCCTTATCTGATTTGGGTGTCAAGGTTACACCAGTCTCACAAAATATGTTGGATATTATTATCTCTTCCGTTTTCTGGAACAGCTTGTTTCAGGTTGATAGTAACCATTCTTCATCTCTGTTCTTATGTCCAAACTGACATTGCAAGTGACCACTGACACCAGCTTCCGGTGGCACACACAGTTTTGTCTTGCTGAAAGTTTGTAAACAGAAAACCTTCTGCATTTAAAGTAGGCCTTCTACTCCTTCCTCTCACGCTGGTCCTTCTAGTTTCCTTTTTTTGCACAGTTTGGTAGTAGAGAGTTCAGAAAGGGCCAAGAAAGAGAAAGAGAAAGAACTACAGCTCACTCCAGAGGCAAAGTAGCTTGTTCCTACTTTATCTGAGGGGCAGAAATCCAGACCAGTCTCCCAGTGCTCCTCCTCTGTGAGCCAAAACCTATAGAACTCACATGTACCTCAGAGAGTAATTATAGATCCTTTTTTGTGTTTGCACACTTAGCCCTAGTAAGCCAGGAACCATCTCTGAAAGAAATAATAATTAGCGTTTCTTATTTGCTAAAATAGACATTCATTGTTCAGTTTGGTGGAAACCAATAGGCTCAGCATTTCTGAATGTGTTTCAGTCTTTTAATCATAGCAGGGAAGAGCTGTACTTTTTGCTTACATGAAAAAGAGTCTCTAGAGTGCTGTAAATCTCCAAGTGGATTTAACTTAAAGCTGTAATTGGGAAAGTGAACAAAAAATACGTGAACAAGGATTTTAATTGCTGCAGTGTTTATAACAGGGAACTGCTGGAAGCAATCTGAATGTTCATCAGTAGGAGATTTGTTAAATAAATTGATGTGCACATAAAATGGAACACCATGTAGCCATTATAAAGGACATGGTAGACCCGTGTGTCTTAACATGCAGAGACTTCTAAGATACATTAAGTAAAAAACTTCCTGCCCTATCCACTATCAATTGCGTCTTTATGTTTGTTGGTTGTTTTTTTCCTCTCTCTCTGCTTGTCACTTAATCTATGCCCATATGTTAGATGAAGGTGGTGCTCTCTCCTAGATAGTTTTAAATGGTCCCTTCAAAGGACAAAAAGAAGCTAACTTATAAAACTAGTATGGTGGCTATAAAAAAGCAATAATTATACATTTAAACTGATGCCTTCATTTTTCTCGGGGTAAATTTATAGGTATCAGCCAGAGGCACTCCAAATACTGTTATTTACTCTAAATATATCCAAAAAGTTGGCACTGTTCTTTTTATCTAAATATTAAACCTTTTCAAGGGTTTTATTTGTGAAAGTTTAGAGATGGAGTCTTTTGAATCCATTCCTCATGCTAGTTTTGTTTGCTTTGACCTTTTCCTCCCCACCTCCTAGCAGCATCACATGTCCCTCAAAGGGAAACAGTCTGTCTAGGGCACCCGGAGGATGCTCGCGTGGAAGGAGAGGGTGTAATGCCACCCTCCCGTTTCAATGACATGAGTGATCTTTATGGATTGCCTTAGCAGTAAAGCTTTTACGGTACTGCCTCAAAGGAGCTGTCACCTCTGTCCTCCCAAGCTCCACGCCCAAGCTAGCATCTGGACCACCATCAGAAATCGTGAGTGAGTAGGTAAAGCTGAAAAAATGGGAAGTACAGTTCTAGCTTGCGACAGTGTTGAACTTATCTCACTCTTCAAATGACAGGATCCAAAACCCCCTTTGACTAGCAAGACTGGAAGAGAAATTCAGAGCCCCCCCAAGAGGTAGAGAGTTCTGTTTGCCACATCTTGTAGACTCCACCCTTCCATGAAGAAGTTTTTTGCATTCTTCTAGCCAATCACCTCATATCACCTGAACCCCTTTAAATGTTTCCCTAGAGACAGACTGTTGGCTTGAACTCTTTAAACTGTTCAAAATACAAAACTTCAATGCTTCTCACTCAAAACCTCATCTGGTAACATTTTCAGCAACCAGTTTTCTACCCATTCTGTCTTGCTGTCTGCTTCTGTCTTGCTTGGTGCCTGATATTAATGAATAAGGAAGACTTTTTCATACCACTTTTATGCAGTTACCACCAGTGCCTGATCCTGAGTAGGGCCATCATTTTTGTGTATCATCTCCATAAACAGAGGGAGTGTATTGGCTGAGAGCATGGGCTCTGGAATTCGATCGCCCACATTCAGATGCCAGCCCCACCACTTACTGGCTGTAGGACTTTGGAAAAGTTATGTTTTAATTTAAATTTAATTCTTTTTCAAAGTAATACATATACATAATTTTTAAAGTTAAATGCCACCACAAACTTATAAGAAAATAGTAGTCTCCTGTGCTATGCCATTCCCAATTTCCACTCCCCAAAAACAATAATTTTTAACCATTTTATTTTGTTACTTAACTCGATGTTTCTAAATAACATGCTTCAACTGCTTCACTGATTTTTCCATTTTAGGTATCAGTTGACTTCCTACTGTGGAGGACGAAGACTTAGCTGTCTAACCCACTCCACCCCCATCACACACAAGGGCACTCACATGCGCACTCTCTCCTTCACTCACTCACTCTTCCTTTCTTCCATTCCTCCCATATAATTTTTTTATTCAACCACTTTGCATTATTTACATTATTAGTATTATCAATATTATATAATATAATTCTCAGCTGAGCTTCATAAAATACTACGATTCTATTTCCTTTCCTGTACAATTTATTTTTCCTGGAGTTAATGGTTGTCTCATCTTTTCCTTGGTTAGTTTCCTCTATCTATTATTATGCAACACCAAACTCTTCCAGAGTTATAAGAGGTTTGTGTGTTTCATGTGCTGAGCATAGTATTGAGAAGTTCAGTGTCTGTTATTTTTTTTCTCTTTCTGAAAGCTTTTAAGAGTTCCCCTGTCCTTAGTGCTCTGAAATTTCATAACTACATGCTTTCTTGTGGGTCTTTTTTCATTCATTGTCCTGGACACCCTATTTGCCCTTTTAATCTGGAAATTTTTATTTTTCCTTTGTTAATTTCTTCCCCTCTATTTTCTCTATTCTTTCTTTATGTAATTCTTATTAATTAGGTGTTGATACTTCTGACTTGATGTAATGATTTTCATATCTTTTTCCCGCTATTTTCTCTCTTTATAAAACTGTGCTTTCTAAGAGCTTTTTCTCAACTTTTTTTTTAAACCTCCTATGGAATTGTAAGTTTCTGTTGTCATAGTTCTCATTTCCAAGAGTTCTTTCTTCTTCCCAGAATAGAGCTATGGATATATAGATATATATTCCTATATATCATCTTGTTTCATGGAGATATATATATATTATTTTTTTAGCTCAGTGAGGACATTAATTATAGATTTTTGGAAACTTTCTTGCGATTCCTACACTGTTTTTTGGTTTCCTCTGAGTTTCTTTTTTGTTTTAGTCTCTTTCATTTTAGAAGCTTCCTTTAATATCTGTTGATCCTTGGCTGTTCATTCATATTTAAGACTGAAGCACTAAAAAACTATTTGAAAAGCTTGAGGGTAGTGGGGGGACTGTTGAAAGTGGGCTTCTCTATAGGCTGATAAGGAGTGAGCCCAGTATTTTCATTGGCAGATCCCCTGATCCTCGAATATATCTGTGATTTTTCCACTTAGATTAGCCAGTTTCCCTAGAGAGAGTTCTTTGGCTTCCTGCTTTGAGGGAAGGGGGGCGGGGGGAGGGTATAAGCCTACATACCAGGGATCTGGGAACACTGGGGTGAAGGAACCTCATGGTTTAATAAGACGACGTTAGATTCCTTCAGTCTGCTCACTCAGTAATTGCCCTTCTCTTTTCTGGCTTTTTAACTGTTGTTGTCCCTCCCGGGTTCTCTTTGTCCTTATGGATCTATATATATATACTTTTTTTTTTTCTTCACTATCATTTTAGTTGGGTTTAGAGAGAAAGAGCAATAAGTATATATGCTTAGTTTACCATATTTCTGGGCAAGTTATTTAACTTCTCTTTGTTTCAGTTTATTCATCTGAGAAATGGGAGGAAATAATAGTCCCTACCTCAAGGGCTGGTATTAAGATGAAGTAAGAGATCTATTTATGGTCGTAGCTCTATGCTTGGCACACGATATGCATCAAGAAATATTAGCTCCAATCTTATAAAGTAGTAATAAAATAAATTACAGAAATGTCTGATGATGTGTCGTCTCAAATGAGTTGAACATATCAGTCAGTGAAAGAGGTCAAAAACAGTCTTTCACTCTATCCCTTTGAGGTAAAATGTTAATATCCATGTTAGGGAAATAAGAAAAAAAAAAAAACGATGTGCTTAGCTTGACATCAAGATTTATTATTTAAAAATGATATTTGTCAAAACACACGCTTTTCATGAGATCTGAAATGAGTTCCACATAAAATCCAGTAGAAATCTTACTGCCAACAAAGTTGTTACTGACTTAACATTTTGAGCTCATAACTGTTTTAATCAATTAAATTATTTTTCTGCTTACTGTGTCTGAATTCAGTAAACCTGAAATACAATTAAATATTGTTAATTGCCTTGGTAGAATTGCTTCTTTAATTTTATCAACAAATATTTCTTAAGCACTTACTTTATAATGTGTGGTCCCTGAACTTTCTGCCTATATCAAAACAGATCAGTAAGCAAACAGGCAATATCAGAAAAGTATAGGAGATCTCACTGGGCCTCATCTACAGCATGAGAAGGATGGACCACGTGAACCATCCACCCAGCTCTAAAATATGGTTATACTGTTTTTATATACATCACTGTTTATTAAGCCTTGATTCAAATTTGTAATCCATTTACAGAGTGCTTATTTGCACACACATTAAACATATGCACAGTTGGTGGAGCACTACATTATATAAATTACCCAATGTTAGTCGTATCCAGCCTGATGGAAAGAGAGAGAGAGAACTAAGATCCCAAATCTTTAAATTCTTGTCCTGCCCAAGAGGATTTTACCATAATGGCATTTTTTTAAGTGTCCAACTTTGGACAACTGTGTTCAGTCTGAATCGTTTAATAACCAAGGGCAAGCAGAAAAGTGATTGAGGATATAGAGAGCTTAAAACACAACACACACACCAGTAAGTCTATCCAAGGAGGAATCAAGAAAGTTCATTTTAGATTTCTTATAAAAAGCTTAATATTTATAAAGAATCAAGCTGTGACTTTCTATGTCTCATTTTTTTCTCTGAGGAGTTGAGGTAATTCTTAATTAAGCTTAAGGTCCCGGCTAAGAATTTCACTTCACACTTGCCTGCTCTCAGCTGCAGGCAAGTACCAGATATTTGCTGATCTCAGAATTAGGTTAACTTAGAGTCAGAAGATAATACAAGTTGGAACTCTAGATTCTAATTGATAAACAAAAAGTAAACTATTAAATAAAGAATACTAGATGGAAAACTTCTTGAGGGCAAGGAGTTACCCTTGTATGGCCCAATTTAACTACCTCAATCTCGTGCACATAATTGTGTGCCAGAATGAATCAACAAATGAACTTTTAGAAGCACTGAGCATTGTTCATTAGAGCAAATTTGTAAATAAATCATTCTTCAACACAAATGAAGCCCTTCCATACAACTCTTTACCCCTGTACTTATCTTCTATTTAGTTCATATATGTTAATTTTATCTCCCCTTAACTTAGTTTTTGAGGCCAAAAACCAGGTCTCCACTCACACACCCATCACCGGGTCTAGCACAACCTCGAGCACAGAATAAGTGCTTGACTTATGCAGGCTGATCAGGTGATTAACAAACATGGTGACTGCAAACATGGTGATTGCAAACATCCTCTATTCTACAGCAGGCCTGGCCAAGTGGGACCCAGCAGATCCTGCTTCCCCCGGCGTGGCAGCAGCTGACTGGAGTGGCCACACACACGTCGGTGCAGCACGCCACTGTCATTCCCGAGACGATGGCAGGCACCCAGCAGTTGGCCGACTGGAGGTAAGCAGGAAAGTAGGCTTGTGTGGGAGGTGTGTCCACCGCTGACCCAGAGAGCTGCAGGGTAGACGGTACCTGAATACCCTGGTTTGTAGAAAGCTTTTTAAATTAAAAAGAATATATGTGGAATATGAGTACAGTGTGATGAGAGGTTATTTTTAAATAAATATACCAGGACACAGGAAAATCAGTTTCATTACTTTATGGTCAGTTGTCATTTTCGACCCCAAAATTGGTTATATCATTTGATCACCAATGTAATTCAGCACATTTGGCTCTAGATGATTTTTGGTTGTTTCTCAGAATTAAATTCCACTCCCAGAAAACAAAGATTTGTCACCAGTGAAAGAATGCAGAAGAGTCCCCATGGCTCCTAAACAATTCTAGAAAGTATTCTCGAGGTGTTTTGAGACACGGGCCCACTGAAGTCGTATCAGACCTCCCAGGGGAAGGCTTGACAGAATGGGGTTTATTTGGAATGGTAAGCTCCAGCATGTTTGCTGAGTGTCTCTCTTCAGTTAAGAGTCATATCTTATAGATTGAAGTCCACTTTCCACAGACTCCAGAGGCATCCAGCTGACAGCCACCAGCACGCCATCCCCCCTGCGTCTGTTCCCAGCACCCCACCACATCCTACTCACCAGCTTCCTCACTGACACCTTGCTCTATTGTTTTTATGGCCACTTTCCACTTTTCCTGTACCTCCTACCCACCCCATCCCAACACCACCACAGTGCCCCCCTTCACTAGTGCAGAGCTAAGTGGCAACCCTCTAAGTTGTCCCAGCTTTCCATGGCCCTCTGGGCTGCCTCTCATTCAGCCCAAACATTCAAGCAGGTCACAACCCTCACCCTCTGACAGTCTCCAACCCTGGAGCCTCCCCTGCAGCTCCTTTTCTGACCAAAAGGCTATTGTGAATTGAGAGCTTTCAGTAAAACATAGAGGGGTGGAGATAGAAGCCTCCAGTCAGGCTTCAACTGCAGCCTCCTCTGTTTCTCCATTTAATTTTCTGACTTGTGAAAAAAAGAGAATACATAGGCTCTTTCCCACAGCCCCACTCACTTCCCACTAACAGTACCCCCCCAAGTCCACCCTACTCATTGGAAGCACTTTCAAACCAGGTAAAACTGGGTTCAGTCCTGGCTCTGCATGACCTGGGGCAAGTTACTTAACCTTCATGAGCCTCAGTTTCTTCTTCAATAAAGTAGGGATGATGATGCGTATCTCATAGGATTGTTGGGAGGTTTAAATTAAGATACAATACAAAGCACTTGGCCTGTATTTAACATGTACTATACCAGTGCCTGGTACATGACAGACAATAAATAAATCTGTTACCTTCGCTTCCTCCATCACACTGGTTCATGCTCAGTGAGATCGCCTTCCCTCTCCAGCTCTTTAGGAACAGCAACCAAGTGGAAAGCTGTTTGACCGATTGTTTTTTACTAACCGCTTTTTCTCCTAAAAGACCATACATGCTGTACTCCTTTTTTCCTTTGCTTTCAGCATTTATAGGTCATTTAATCTCAGCAGTACTCACATACTCACTCATGTATATTTTCTTCTTCCTCTCCCCTTCTCCTCCCTTACTTGGTTACCACAGAAAACACTTAAAGTCAACACACTTTCTTTCCAGTCTCTTCTCCATTTCATGTGTGGGCCAAAGAGCATCCATAATGATGGCTAATAAACAAAAGAGAAGTACCGATGCTAGACTTGTATCAAAGGAGAAAGCATGCCAAGTCTGTAGAAGAAAGAGCAACAACAAAGTAAAGAAGCCATAACATCAATTTCTAAAGTCCATGTAAATGTCCAAAAGACTCTGTCAAAATCTTTACGAAAGTGCCTACCTACTTTTTTCCTATTCATCCTTTTCCCGAAGTTGCAAAGATAATTTATAATATTCTAAAAATTCATATGAATTATCCTTTAAGTTTTAATTTTATTATGTGTTAAATGGGCTTTTATGGGCAAGTCTCTGAATTAATCACCACTTTTAATATTTCTGTGGGAAACAAATCTTTGAGCTTCATACAACCCAGATCATAAGACCTTTTGGAACATAAGCCATTTTCAGGATAACGGCTGCCAGTATTTCCATATCAACATGTGTCTGACTGTTATTAATTTTGATTTAATACCAAATTTTACACATGTCTAGTCAACCTTCAGTTAATCTGATTGTTCAGTCAGCAAGTGTATAATTAATTGATCAGCTGCTACCTGCCTGAGCATTGTGCTAGCCACTGAGAGAATTCAAAAGAATGTTAACACTGCCTAACGCCAGAAACATACAGCTCCCAGTCTTTGAAGTTTTTTTTTACATAAACTACAATTCCCTCGTTTATAAAATGGTATAAAATACTAAGATATCCGGACTACCTCACAGATTGGAATAACCCACTGAAGGCACTTGGTAAATTCTAAAATAAAATGCTCAGCGCAGTCACCTGTTTGGAGACTTTAAAAGCTGGAGGGAATATTTATCTCCTCTCCCCAGAGCTTGAGCTGAACCTGCATACTTGGCATTCTTCCCACTTGCAATGCCCTCTTTCCCACCCACCAACAAATTGTGTATGTTCCTGCCAGTCCATCAGGACAGCACTTCAACTTCACTGCACCTGGCAAACGAGGAGCTCGCCTGGCTGGGCTCATCTCTTCAACAACCCCACGGGCTAGTAAGAACCAACTTTTAGTTTTAATTTGCCTTGTAATTGAGGAGGAACCTTTATCTTAAAAAGAAGCTCTCTGTTTATAAAACTAATAAGGAGCCTTATTGTCCCATCTCCCTTTCAGGAACACACATGCTCATGGCAGCCATTACAATCCCATCATGCAACAGCCTGCATTATTGACTGGACATGTGACCCTTCCAGCAGCCCAGCCCTTGAATGTGGGCGTGGCCCACGTGATGCGGCAGCAACCAACCAGCACCACCTCCTCCCGGAAGAGTAAGCAGCACCAGTCCTCTGCGAGGTAGGTGGTGAGAGTCGCCCTGGAAGAGAGAGACCCCAGGAGGGGAGTGTCAGCATGTGGTCTGGATCCCTGGCATGGTGTGGCTAGCGCTAGGATTTGAAAAAGGAACTCACTCTGGCGTCTGTGCCCTGCCTCTTGCCTCACCTCCTCCCAGCCCTGCCAGCACCCAAAGGGTGGGGTCCTGGAATCACAGCGTCCAGTACCTGGGCCTTGAGCAATTCCATCCCCTTCTGCTTCTCTAGAAAACACTCAGACTCACCTCTGAGGTAGCACTTTGGAAACCATAATAACTTTTTTAAAAAATAGTGGAGAAATGTGCTTTGTTTGGAATGTAAAGTCAGAAATATAACTCATTTAGCTGCGTGCTTAAATATAAGCAATAACTTTGATTAATCCCAGATGTTAACCAGCAGAAGGGTAATCTTTCCCATTCCCTTTAAATCCAGTCTCATCTCAATGAACTCTTAAAAATCAAGATCAGCAAAAGGCCACATGCTGTATGATCTCATTTATATGGCATTTTGGAAAAGACAAAACTATAGGGACAGAGAGCAGATCAGGAGTTGCCAGGGACCAGGGTAGGAGGGAAGGGGCAGGAGGGAACTCTTCAGGGTGATGAAGAAGTTCTGTATCTGGGTGGCTGGGTGTTACTTGTACATTTGTCAGAAGTCATCAAACACTTCCAAAGGGTGACTTTTACTATATGTAAATTATACCTCAATAAACTTGACTTTAAAAAAAAAAGGAGATTTCCAAATCAAAAGAAAAAATTTTGAGATCAAGATTGTGCGGCTGCAGAATTGCTCCCACATTTCTGTCCAGTGGCACTGCCTTGGAGGCAATTAATGCTTATTTAGGATAGGTTAATCAAGAGGAAGGAGTCCAGTACATAAAATACAGGCGCCAGAAATTAGGCCTGCCTTTTTTCATTCTCATTCAAAAATTAATACAAAAGCTGACTTCCCTCAAGTTGTCATCCTTCTTAAAGATTCCTTATTTGGGTGTTTCTGACAACTCGGGGAAATGCATCTCAAATCTGTGGCAGCCCTGTGACAACACATCCATGTCATTATTAGATTGGGTGGCAACAGAGGCCACCATCTTGATCCTCGGCTCTGTCATGCCCAGCCAGGTGGGCGGTCACACAGAACAGTGGGCTGAGCCTGGGCTGAGCTTAGCATCTTCGTGCCTCACCTTGGCAAGTAGGGGCGTTAGGAACCCTTAGCCTCACAGCCTGTTGCCAAGTCCCTCCCTGGTGCCCACTCACCACCCAGCTGGCTTTATGAAGGCTTATTGCCAGTGCATTTCAAGATCAATATAATTATAGTGAAAGTTATGCGTTTGCCTATTTTTAAGACCACTGCCTTAGGCAAAACAGTCTAAAAGACCAGAAGGCTCTCCCTTGTCGGGTGGTGCAGCGAGGCATACTTGTCTTTAACACTCCAAGTGGAGGTATATTAACTGCTGGAGTAGTGAAAACATAATCTCAAAATTATAAGATACTAGCAGTAACAAATACTTAGGTTTATGGTACAAACAATGGAACAATCGTATCGGAAAAATTTATTACCAGCCCCCAAAAAGGAACAAGCAACATATCTAACAGTAACTAGATTGGAAATTAAATAAACCCACCTTTGTAGAATAATTTTCATCTTCCTGCCATCCTTTTAGCTAGAAGGTGCTAGAATCTCTAGAGACATATCAGAGTCTTAAGTTTCGTTGCAACTTGGCTTTGTTCTCTCACTGTATAAATACGAGCAAGGTCAGCAAGAGTCGGTGGGGAGGGGTTGGGGGGGAGGGGAAGAGGTAATGTATTTTTTCCCTAACATGACCGGAAACTACATTGGCTATTTTGGTAAGGAATTTTGAGTCCATCAAAATCAAGATTAAAATTTAGGTCCGTTTTTAAGCACACCTTTCTTCTTGCACTTTTCCCAATTTTTCATTACAATTCAAACAGACTAATAAGCTTCCTATGAGGCTCGGGGACAAAATCCAAAAAAATCTTTTTTTTTTCTTTATACGCAGTTGGGTACTTCCATGGTCATGTCCTTTTCCCAGAGGAGGAAGGAGGAAAAACTAAACTTTAAGGTCACAAATGTTAGATCCAGAAACGCTTAAGAGATGAGAGTTTTAGTTGAATAAGTAAAACAGACATTAGCGAAGAAACCAAAGCTTTATGTGGCAAATACCATTTCCTCCAACTCCCTCCAGAACAAGACCTAAGTATGTTTGGGAAGATGACAAGATGGAACTCGGGAAGTTGGGGCTTGACCCTGAAGACAGGGCTGCGTTGGGGAAGACACCCCTGAAATCCCGGGCATTGCATCTGCCCCACAAGACTAGCCCCATCCTTGGGCACAACCTGTCTCCCCCTCCTTAGAGCCCTGGCTGCTCCCTTTGTCCTGCTGGGAGCAGGCACATGGAGCCACACCAGAGCCCAGGGAAGGCCAGGCTGCTGTCCCCATCTGTGTAGTGACTAACAGAAAGAAAGAGCTCCAGAGGCGGCCACTTCTGCAGTTACAGAATGATATGAGTGCCCTGGCCCTCTGGCTTTTTAACGGAGATTTGGCAAAGCTGGTGTTTCTAGACAATTGGGCTCCTTGGAAGGAGCTGCTGGGCCTGGCCTTCCTCTGTGAGTGTGTGTGGCTTTGTCGTTACAGAAACGTCTCCACCTGTGAGGTGTCCTCCTCACAGGCTGTCAGCTCCCCTCAGAGGTCCAAGCGCGTCAAGGAGAACACGCCTCCCCGCTGCGCCCTGGTGCACAGCAGCCCGGCCTGCAGCTCCTCCGTCACGTGCGGGTGGGGGGACGGGGCCTCCAGCACCACCAGGGAGCGGCAGCGGCAGACGATTGTCATTCCCGACACGCCCAGCCCCACGGTCAGCGTCATCACCATCAGCAGCGACACGGATGAGGAGGAGGAACAGAAGCACGCCCCCACCAGGTGAGGCCATGCCACCTTCAGCCTTCCAGGAGGGAGCAGGACGGGGTGCACCGTGTGCTGCCGACGCACAGTGACAGTTATCTGTGGCTCTGGGCCACTTTGCATCATCAGACATGATGATTCCTCTCTCCTGGCAACTCAGTTTTGGTTTTGCCACGTCCTAGGGTCCTAAAGTGATTTCAAGGGAGTGTCGAACAGATTTTCCATAATTGTTCAAAGCCAAAGTACTTTTGAATCGCTTTGGTCTTAAAAAATAGTTACAGGCCCTAGACATTTGGGGGACTTGAGACCATAAAAGGCAGGCGCACAGTGCCGGTGTGTTTCAAGCTTAAAAATCTCTGCCTCAGGCTATTGACTTTATTCCCAGTTGGTCAGAATACTTCTCTAACATTGCCTTGGCTCTCTCAGAATTTGAAGTAATTGTCCAATTAATCAGAAATTTCCCTGTGTCTGATTAACCCAATCTTTCAAACTGCCAATTGGCTCTTCACCCAGAGAGCGTTACTATTTATTCCAAAGTGGTAAGAACCCATTTTACTCTCTGTGTGCTTCCTGAGGAGAGGGAAGAAATATTTATTATATTTGCAAGACTATTAATCCTGGTGCCAGAGCCTCTTCTACGCTTTCCAGCCAGGCTTCAGCAGAGTGTGGTGTGGGCTTGGGCTCCTCATGAGCCCCTGGAACTTCCCTCCAGAACAGTCGCTCCCTTGGCCTTCTGCACCCCCAGGGGCCTCGGGGCCTTGCAGATCCCAAAGCCTCACAACCCTAACCTGCTGGCTCCCCACATTGGGACCGAGGGCCAGAGGAGGGAGGCCTGCCCCCCAGCAAGCTTCCTGTGACCAGATGCAAAGCTTAGCATTCGCAATTAGGCCCCAATTATTAATTCTTGATTGGATACAATGTTACTAATTAGTAATCACAAATCCTTTTGATTGGGTAATAAATTCCCGCACATGAAATCCTTACAAAATGTACAGCTAGACTGATTAAAACATTCTCACTATAGCTGTTCCTGCACGGGGCGTCCCCTTCCAACTTTATAATGGACTCCGTATCTTGTTTCGTTCTTTCGTGATAGGGCCAGTGTATGTCTCATTCAAGTGTCCTCTTTCCCTGTTTCATGACTCAGCCTGATCATCAGTTTGCCTCAGAGAAGAATGCAACGGAGCACCTCTGGGCCTAGCATCGTGCCAGGTGCCAGAGGGGCCACAGGGTTGGGGAGACCAGGCTCAATGCTTCACTCCCCACCTGCTTGTTCCAGAACTGGCCTCAGTTTCCTTTTCGATAAGAGCCCCAAGTTGAGACAAAACTCTGTCCTCCCCAGTGCCTCATGCCCCCCAGCCCAGGAATTTTGTGGGCTCAGCCCAGCCCTTCACAAAGAGGAAGGCTCTTCCTTGCCCCAGATTGGCCACTGGCCTGGAGCAGCCAGTCCACATGTTTGTAACATTGGGCATAAGATGAGCCGAGCAGCCTCGCACAGCCCTTTGCCGCAACTGAAAAAAAGCAAAAGCAATTTAAACATCTGACAGTTGACTAGATTGGAATATAATTTTTGAGGTATGAGATTTGGAATGACGCGGGCTTGACACATGTGCTCAGGAGAGAACTGAATAGCATGCCTGAGGAAAAGGAGGATGAGGAGCCATCTCGCCACCAGCCAGAGCAGCCAGGGCTGGGAGCGCAAAGCAAAGCCAAGGCACAGACTTCTGCAGCAGGCCCCTGGCCCCAGAGAGACAGAACTGAATATTTGTCAGCGTGTGAAGACCTTGTTGTAAATGACTCGAAGAGACCACTTAGGGGAGGGCAGGGAAGGAGCTGATGGGCAGGTGCACGTGTGAGGAGCAGCCACAAATAGTGACACTGGGCTCCTGAGTACCAGAGCTTCGTCAGATGAAAAATGCAGGGAACTGCCTGCCTGCCTGCCCAGGATAATGAAGTGTACCAGAGACGTTACACCAAAAGGAGGAAGCTGCAGGCTGAGACCAGAGTAATCGTGCAGGGTTTCAGCTGTCAGCAGTTGTGACGGGAAGCTCACAGAATGAGATGATAAGGTTTTCTGGAGTGAGCAAATGATTGTTGCCTTAAAAATGTGTTTTAGGACACAAGACGACAGGAAAGTGTATTTGAATCTGAGTAGGATAAAACAGAAACCAGTAGCTGTTTTATTTATAGAGAAACCACTGTGTAATGGGGTCACGTTATTGTGACTACATTTTGGAATGAGAAAAAAACGGGGGGGAAATATGATTGCTCATTCTTAGAAATCAGAATTATCGTAAAATTTAACACGGTATTTATTGGCCCCACCAGTGTAAGATATTGTGCTAAGAACGGCAGGTATTACATAAATAAGGTAGACAGTCTCTGTCCTCGGGAGATTGCAGGGTAATAAGCAAGATAAGACACGTACAAATCATTATAACACAAAACAGAGTATCAGTCCCATAAAAACCAGCAGAGAACTGTGCAGATTCGAAGGGAAAATAGCTTGAGGAAATAGCAGAGGAGACAGGGCCTTTTAAGGCCAAAGGTCTGGCCAGGTGTGGGCCAACAGCAGAGGAGGTAAGATTGCAAATTCCAGCGAGAGAGGTGTGTGGATGCAAATAATCCATAATCAATCTATAAATCAAAATTGGGATGAGTTTATTATGAGCCAAATTTGAGGACCATATAGCCTGGGGCCTGCCTTCCCCAAGGAAGGAAGGGCACTAAAGAATTGGGGTGTACAGATCGGTTATATACCGTTAAATAGCATGTATCACATATGATCGCAATGTCCCTTTTACAATAGTCACAAGAGTGCCCTGTCAGATTGCCCTGTCAGCACAGTGATTGATGGACACAGCAGGTATCAGATCTCCTGTCTCGATGGGCACGGCAGGTAGCAGGCCTGTTGTCTCAAGCTGGGTGGCCACAGGATGAGCACAGCAGTCAAATCCTAGCATAGGGAGAAATCTTATCCTTAAGGAAATGCCAGTGTGGGGGAAGTTGCGTCGTTATCTTAAGGGCATTTGTTCTTGTCTTTGGGACATGTTAATTGCTTAAAGCAGATATACAATGCATGTTCAAAGGCGACAGCCCCTTTTGGAAAAACAAGCTCAGGCTGAATTAGTTTTACACCAAATGGCTTCCTCATATGCTCCAATGTATCCTGTTGCTTGCCATTTGTGTATGAGGTGGCAGGGCAGAGCCTCAGAGGTGGGATAGGATCGAGCGCACAGTGGTGCAGTGATCGAAGAGAGAGGGAGAGCAAGGAAGAATGGGACTTACGAACAAACTTTCCGAATGGAAAGGGGGATTTGGGGTCTCCTCTTCAATGTGGGTGGTCAGCTTTGTCAGGAGACACTAAGGAGCTCATGGGAAAGCGTTGGTCCTGGGAAAACAAACACGTGCCCCCAAGCGCAGCCCACTGGGGTGCCTCTCGGCCACTCTCCATCTGGAAGCTTCTCTAGCCGGTCAGCGCTCCAGTCTGAACAGTGGAGACTGCCCTCCATGACCCTGACCATTCTCGTTTCCAAACCTGATTTCTCCTACACCCTGAGCATCTTGATTCTGATCTGCTGTGTTCCCAACCTCAGTTCCTGTTTGCTGCTCACGCCCAGGGCTAGCCCTGTAGCTCTGCCGGAAATGCTCAGTACTTCCCCTACCGTGACAGCCTCACACAGCAGGGGGCTGATGATGCTCACGGGGATGGGGGCGCGGGATCACACAGCAGCGCCTCCATCACCAGTGTCTTCTAGAGCCGACATGAGACAAATAATGGTCACCCCACGTCTTTAGACCTAATTGAGAGTGTCACTAAATCTCCAGGACCAGATGACATAGCCGAGAATTTTTAGAGGAATGCCAAGGCAAAAGTATTATTCCTGACCCCACCCTGTGGCCCCGTGAGTTGCCAGAGCAGATAGACGGTCAGCAACCCCTACTTGTAAGGAGGCTCCAGAGCATGAGGGGCAGGCTGGGAGCCAGTGAATTATAGGGGAAGGGAACCGTGACATTCACCAGGTGTCCTCACCTGCACTGGCTCGTGCATCATTTGAGGGGGTGTACAAGGCCAGTAGTTCTAGTCCCATTTGATAGATGAGGAGACTGAGGCCCAGGAAAGGTATGTGACTTGCCCAAATTGATAAAGGTTCTAAGTAGCAGAATTGGGATTCGGGTCCCATGCCATTGAAGAAATGGCCATCTTAATCACTGGCAAACACTGATTTCTCTTCAGTCATTAATTCAACAAATATAAATTTTCTCCCTCCTCCTCCTCTGACCATTGCCGCCATGCCCAGGCACATGGTCACACCCACTGTGTGTGGGCACCAGGCCAGGGCTGTGGGGAGTCCAGGGTGTCAGTCACTGGCTGCCGACGGGGCGCCAGGCGTTCATCAGAATGCTGGAGCTCTAGCAGCAAGAAGGGCAGAAGTCAGCTCGTCTGAGTCTTTGAGAAGATTTTTTAAAGTAAGGAGGCCAAGAAAGACCCAGCAGCCTCCTTTTTCTCAATGAGTTGCTTTTGGACTATGGGGGCCTATGGTCATGGTTAGAGAACTGGCCTAAAGGCAGAAAACAAACTAAAGAGTTATTTTTCTGGATCCCCCAGGATTAAGTGGTAGAACTGATCTTATTTTAAATATTTATAAATTATTTTGATGAGAAGAGCGTTTGACTGCCTACACGTGCTGAATAAGCCATCTTTTCTCCCTTGGAATCGCCGTGGACCAAGTTTATAGATGCACGTTTTACCATTCAGACCCTTCTGCAGACCTGCCTTGTGCTGAAACTGCCCTTTAGGGGCCATTTGGTCACATCCTACAAGCCTCAGTCATGCGGGTAATTTTCAAAGTGTGTGACCGAAGTGGCTCATTTCAGCTGATCAGCTAGAGATCATTTTGCCCAGTCTCCATTTTTCATTACTTCATTCATTCATTCGTTATCTGGATGTTTCTGGTGGACGGGTTTTGTTTCACGTGGACATCAGCACACTGCTCCATTCCGCATCACTGCCTGTG